AACTTGACCTCTACAAAAACCAGTCCAAAGTAGTCCGCTCCTCGGTTTTACACTCTTGGTACTTCGTCGACAACACATCTACTTTCGTAGGACCAGGTTTATTATTTACTTTAGCATCTTCTATAGCGCTGACCGTAGTTCGGTTTCTTGATTTTTGTTGACCAAATGATCATCGGAAAGAGTTGATGATTAGTTTTTTGATTATAGTATTGTATAATATTATATACTGATTAATTAACTATATATATAATTTCGATTAAGATAAAGTTATTGTCTAAAAAAAAGTTTTAAACTTTATATAACTAATATATAAAATATTAAAATTTATAAAATAATAACAATAAGCAATAAATTAATTATTTTATTGATTTTGAATAATTCAATAAATATATAACTAAAAAATATTATAATTAATAGATTTTTTAAATATTTAGAATATTCTATTAACTTTTAATTCTTTAATTTATACAATAATACAAAAACTTTTATTAATATTACTAAGATATTTATTACTATTTAGATTTACTATATCTTTTTTTAACAATTTTTTGTTGCTATATTCTGGATTCAAAATTTTTACTCAAATAAAAAATTAGAATTATAATTTTTTAAAAGAGTATTAAAAATAAAATCTACAAAATTTTTAAATATAATTGTATTTTTTTGATTAGTTTGTATAATTTTATTTTAATTTTTAATCTTTTTTTATCATTTATCATCTGATTATTTTTTATTAAAGAGTTATTTCCTTTTTTAATATATAAAAAATCAGATTTTTATATATAATTTTAACTTTTTTTACTTCTCTTTTTAAAAAATTATCTGATTTTGTTATATCTTTTATAGTAATTAATATATATTTTTAAAATAGTATATTTATTTGATTTTATATTTTTAACAATCATTTTTTACTTTGAAGTATCAAAAAAAAATTGTTTATTAAATCTGATTATAAATTATTATTTAGCAAATATTTATCAGGTATTCTAAAATTTTATAATAGCTAATTATATAGAATTTATTAATTTAAAAAAGCTTTATAAACCAACAAAAGCTACAATTAATAAATAATATTTTTGTACATTTTATACTATATCTTATAAAAGCTTAAATAACTTAACTTTTTATAAAATAAAAATAAATTTAATAAATCAAATAATACTCTTACTTTGCTTTATAACATATTCTTTAAATTACTATAGATTTTACACTTTTCTAATTAGCTAATTTACTAAAATTTAAAATATAATTAGTATAATTATATTCGAATTAGCAACAAATTTGAACAGATCAAATCCAAGTTAGATTTAATAAGGTTTCAAATTCTAACTTAGATTTAATATAATTTTTTTTAGATCAAATTTAGATTTTTAAAAAGATCTATCTAATTTATTTGTATAAAATACTAGCTAATTTAGAACAACTCTATTTTAAATCTAGTTAGATAATTCATAATTTTGATTAAAATTATGATTAATAGTTTTTCTATTAATTAGATTATACAAATTCATTAGTATAATAATATATATGAAGAGCTTAAAACTTAATATAACAAAACTTTATTATAAAAAATATTAAGTAAAAAGATTTAACAAAAGCATAATTAAAAGTTTAATTATAGTCTAAAAGTAATACTAAGAATATTATAAACAAATAGATATTAGTAATAGTAGTGAAGATTGTAAAAATAGTATTGGTAATATTGATAGTTTAAAAACTTATAAATATAAAAGTTAAATACTATAATCTATAAAAAAGATATGATAATTTGTTTATACTTACAGATTTATTAGTATGTTATTTTTTGATAAAGAATCTACATAATAGTTAAACTATTTTAGATTTTGAAAATTACTTTTTCTAGTAATTTTATATTAGAAGCTCTGGGAGTTAGAACTAAAACTAGAAAAATTACTATAAAAAATTTAACTGAAGTCAGAACTAGAACCAGAAAAATCACTATAAAAAATTTAATAAAGTCAAAATAGTTAAAATTATTTAGTTTGTTTGTTCTAAATATTAATATATTTTTTTCTTTTTCTTTTAAAATAGTAATTTAAATATTTTACTTTATATTCTTTATTGTTTTTAAACTACTAATAATAATTATTGTAATATTAGTTATCTTAATAGTAATACTAGTTAATCTGATAGTTTTAACTATTTTAATAGTAATTATCTTGATGGTCAATTTGTTGTTGATTGTTTTAATATTGGTTGTCTTGATAATTGATTTGATATTGATATTGATTATCTTGATATTAGATATCCTAATACTGAATACTTTAATATTAAATATTTTAATATTGATTATCTTGATATTGAATATTCTGATATTGTTTATCTTGATATCAGATATCCTGATACTGATTACTTTAATATTAGATATCTTAATACTATTCACTTTAATATTAGATATCCTAATACTGATCATTTTGATATTAAATATTTTGATACTAGTCATCTTGATATTAGATATCCTGATACTAATCACTTTGATATTAGATATTCTGATACTAATAATATTAAAAATTATAATTCTTTTTGATACTTAATAAATCTGATATATTATTCTATAATATAAATTAATTAATTAATTTTATTCAAATATATTAAAAGTTAATATATAAATTAGATTTTATTTACTTAAGCTTTAGCTTTATTATTTTTTTGTTGAATTCTTCAAGTTTTATTTGAATTATAATTGTTTTTTAAAATTATTGTCTATTAGATTTTTCTCTATATGATTATTTTATTTATTTAAAATTTTAACAAGTTTAATATCTATTATTTATATAATATTATCAAAATTATTAAGGATCTAACTAAAATATTTTTTTTAGCTTTGTATACTGAAAGATTATGTCTTTAAAAATAGTATTAAATATTTTAATAATTTATATTAGGGACATAACAAAAATTAGATAATTTTTTAGGGGGAGGGGTAAAAAAGTTAAAATTATATATAAGAATCCGATTTTTTTTATATTAAAAGGGGGAGGGGGGTAAGCTTCCGATAAAAAATAATTAGGTGATAAATGATACTGCTCTTATATATAACTAATTAATCATACTTTGTGCTTACCAACTTGCATTCTTTTATAATATTCTGTCAATAGTTTTTTAAAATAAAATATTCTAATTTTATTTATTAAAAAGAATTGCTAGTAATTTTTAGCAATATGTAGTTTTTTTATTTAGTTACAAAAATACATATTAATTTTTTTTATAAAATAAACAAATATTTCTCAATAACAAACTCAAAATACTTGAGTACCCAAAATTAGAGTAGTTATCAACAATTGATAGTTTAGTAATTTTCTTAGATCAAACTAAAAATTTCTTAGCTTGACTAGAAGTTATTTTTATCTATCTAGTAACTATTAAAAAAATATATCTTGTTACTCAAATTATTGAAATTATCTATTTTTTAGCTTTATATAAAAAATAAAAGTCTAGATATTGTTAATGTTGTCAAAATTGTCCCAGTTTGAGAATAACAATAAAAATTCAACAATTATTTGCTAGTATCAAAATAAAAAACCACTATATAATTTGATTTTTTTCTTTGAAATATAATTTAAAACAATTAGATATATAATTTATTGAAATAAAATAATTAGATATTATAAAGTTTATTGAAAAAGAATATGTATTTATAATTGAAGAAACATTTTATACATGACTATATCTTTACAATCTTGTAATATACTTCTAAACATATATAATATATACTATTATAGCAATAAATAGTATTTTGCAAAAGATCAGATCTGAATCAAATCTAATCTAAACCTACTTATAGATTAAATTTGAATCTATTATTTTTTAGATTTATATAAATTCAGATCTATAGTAAAATCTGGTTAGATATATCTAATCTAAGTCTATAATAATATTGCATGATATTGTATACTAATTTGTTAACCATGATCACGCCATTCATGTCAAGCAAAGAGTATTACATATTAGCAAAGAAAATAATAAAGGTTTATGCAAAGAAAAATTTTGTTAAAAATTTTCACAACAATAGATAGTCCGTATAGCCTCCAAAATTTGTAACGTTTTTTTTAAATCCAGATTAATGGGATTGAATATTTAGATAAATTAGTAAGAGAAAAAGGGTGTTTATTCACAATACAATTATAATGTGTTAAATTTTATGTTTTCTGTGTAATAGTAACAGATTGTTAGAGGTTACATATTCAACCGTTTTGTAAATTTTTGACTCGGTTGAACCGTTTTGACACGGGTGACACGGTTTACTATAACCCGGTTCTAAACTCTATAAATAACAAGGAATACCGTAAACAACCGGTGCTGCGCCAATTAAATATTTCAATTTACATTCGTTCCTTGCCATTGATACAGCTTGTACCAATGATACTTCCCCTCTTGAATTCACATCAATCTTGGAATGATAACTCCTAACATCATCATTAATACCTACATCACCAGGACACAATTCCCATTGATTGAAAAGTGCCTTACTAAACCGGTCAATATCTTTATCCGTGACATCCCACAAATTAGCAACAAGTGCCGGACTATTTAATGAAAATATTATCAAAAAGTTTATGAGAACACATTATGAAAACAAATAAAGTTTCTTGTAAATACTGACCAGCCTGCTATTATATAACTTAAAGCTGTACCCGATGGGTCAAACTCTCCTCCATCACACAAATGGCCACTACTACATCCAAATAACAGTGTAACTGCACAACGGTCAAGGGCTCTAATACGATGACTTCGAATATATTGCTCTCCAGTACCATGGCCGACATAACTGAAATTATTTTTAGGTTAAATAAAATTTTGGGTGTATAATACATTGCTAAAATAATCTTGTATTTACGTTGCAATACATACATATAAAGGTCATTATTTGCCAAACCATTTTTGCATTCCTGTTCAAAAGGAGGGCGACTAATAACTCCATCCCACCCTTGAAAACTATAAAAAAAGAAACAAAATAAAGGCATAAAGAATTATTTAAATTAATATATATTTATGAACTTGTAACTTACCTCTTTACGAAATCTTCAAATTCATTTTGTGTATACTTTAAATCTTGACTCGGATTGAGAACATAAAAGGCCTTGCGTCGGTCAATAACGTAGTTCGAAATGTTCGATTCGCATTGTTGATTATTGATATGATTCATAAACATTATACGATCTCTTAAAAATGACAGGGAAGGCAATCGCGAAACAGCTTGAGACCGCAAGCATGGTAAACTTTCCCATGGTAGCATTTGAACATTTTTGTCGAGAATCAAAATCACATGCTGATCATCAGTCTGAGATGATTCAACAAAATTAATGCCAGAAATTATTTGTCGAACGTCAATAGTGAGCTTTAACAAAAATAAAAGGTAAGCGCAGGCTAATAACTACATAACATTGATAAATCACAAGGTTCGCCAAAATAATGATAAACCAAAACTAACTTTGTCCCAATCAATTTCATCATACCCAATCTGTTCGTCATTATATTTGTTGTAAGCATCCACAAGGAAATAAAGGACATCTTCAATATCCTCATCTTTGGGATATGCACCTAAACGAAGTAACGACTTATATAATTCTACATCAATATCAAGCTTGTTTTTTATTTGATGTTTAACAGACGGTTTGCGCACATCACATTTAAAATTTATACTATCCATTTTTTCTTTAAAACGAGAAATTTGATTGGGATCATGATGTGTATTTGCCATTAAAATTCCCTATATACAATTAGGATAGAAATTATTTGAAAATACAATATAAAACATATATAAATAAGGTAATTATAATGTTACCTTAAAACCACCAAGCCAATAATTCTCAATATTATCAAGCAATTCTTTAAGCCTCAAATCCAATTGTGTCCTTTCTTTCCACCATTCTACCTTTTCATGTTTATTCTGTGACATTTTACCAGCTCGCATACTTTGATTACTCAATTCTAGTATATCATTGAATTCCTTAATCGCATCACTATAGGTAAAGCCACCCTCATCACCTTCTCTGATCGACTGACGTTTCAAGGGCAATCTTAGCAATAAGGGTGATATTTTTCTTCGGTATCGACAAATATACATATCATTTGTTTCAATATCAATAGAAATCGAACAGACAACCCAATTATGCGGTAAGATGTCCAAGAATTCGGATTGAAACTGTTCATAAGTTAATGATGATTCTTTCGTATATTGCTTTAATAAAGTTTTTAAAAAATCCCTTTGAGAATCAGTTTCATCGTCTGAATCATCATCACAATCTTTGATGTCATTTAAGCATGTAGATGTTGTAATCTGTTTTGGCCATTGCATATCATCATACGTCACGGAGAATTGTAATTTTTCATTCAATTTAGCAATCATTTGTCTTTTAGTAGTAAGTGCTTTAGTCATTTCTAAGAACAATAAAAAATTTTTTGAATGTAAATAACTCAATTATTGTCTCTAGAAAACTGAAATTTAAGAATTACCCAAATAATAAGCACACATAGTTGCCACTTCAGACTGATTAAGGTTTTGATCTTGTCCATAAGATTTGATCACATTCATCATTGTAATACTCAATGAAGTTTCTTGCAATAGCTGTGTTGGACCACATTCATAGGCCAGATCATAAACTTTTGTTAAATATTCAATCACTTGATCAATTTCCTGGAGCAGATTAGATGAAATCTCTGTCTTTGATTTAAATACCCTTCGTGGCCTTTTTTTGTTAGCTTTTCCCATCAAAGGAAGGGAAAATACTTCGAATGCAATAATAGACAAATCAAAAAAAAATCCTTTTAAAAATAAAAATACATAATATTCTCATACTTACCAGAATCTCGAACATTATCAAACACCAAACGGTTTTGGTTCATTAGTGTATCATTTATATTCATAATATGAGCTTTGCTCAATACAAATAAGTGCTCTGCCTGTAATATACATAATCAGCACTTGACAAAACATGTCTATCCAAATATTTAAATTATTAAAAATAAAAATAAAAAATTAATTGACCTTTTCAAGGCATGATTGATTTGAATATGAACTGAGTTCAATCAATTTAATGCCCTCACTGACACTCCCTTGCTTACTTAACACCCAACCTATACCAATATGGTCCTAAAGTCAGCAAAATATTTAAAATCATAACAGTTTTGAAATATATATATATATTTATGCATTTCAAACCTTGACGACGAAGCAATTCGCTTTTCATGTATGAAAGTAAAAAGCATTCATACTGAACTGCACCTGTAAAATAATCATTGCAAACATAATATTATACTAAATTTATAAAATATTTGATTCTGAAATTAGGACATGTAAATTCTTACCATCACCTGTAAGTTTAGTAATTGGGCTAGTTGGATAATCTGTGATAAATTTTTTACACGTTGGTGTTTGAAATATGCTACAAATTGATTATATAAATGAAAAGGCCCAAATAGATCTATAAGGTCTTAGAAGATTTTAAATAATCAAACCTCGCATCTGTACATTCAAGCTTCGTTATATAATCCTCTTTCATAATATCAGCCAAAATATTGTTTGCGTGCTGATAGCATTCGAATGCACATTTATAACAATGCAACTGAAATTTGGAATCTCCTTGCAGATATTTGAAATCGCCTTCTCGATGCTTAAAGTCACCCAGGCACAGATTCGCCAAAGCAACTTCTTTTTGAAAAATATCGACCTAATATAAAGTACATCATACAAAATGAATATCATATTATTCGTATGAATATTTGTAATGTGAATAAAGAAACTAGCTCACCTTCAGTTGATACTCTAATGCTTTATCCAATTTTTCTTTACTCACTTTCCAGCAATGCTTTCTATATTCTAATTCAGCAATGTTAAGTAAAAAAAGACTCATAGCAGAATTTGCTTTTGTAGTTTCAATTAAATTTAAAGCCTCCTTGAAAAAATAATCTGCTTCTTTAGCGCATCCGCGCAATATGTGGAGCCGACCAAGTTGATTAAAACATTCAAGAAATTTCTATTGATAATTAGCTTTTGGTAATTAATTTCACCTGAACCATTATAAAAAACAAAATGGCTTAGATTATAATAGCATACATTAGTTACACGCCATTGCAAACGTTGAGCTGACAACGTCAAAAATCCGCCGATATGATTCCCATCTTTAACTAAACTAGACTCGTCTGTTGTTTTATCGTCAACAAGAAACGGGTTGGCAGTTGCGTTCATTTGATCCTTTAAACATCTTGAACTTTTATTAATACTTTTCATCAACCTGTTAAGCAGTCGTACGGCCTCTGTGCAGTAAACAATGGCATCTTCCAAGATACCCTAATATAATAAATACATTCTATTGTGTTGGTTATTCCAATATCAATCATCTCATACATGCTCATATTTACTGCACAACATATAAATGGGTTTAAAAGTGCAACACAATAAATATCTGAGCTTTTACATATATTTCTTCAAATGAATCTTACCAAACGTATTGAAATATATGAGCGCGCCAAATAAGCATCCGCCAGCAAACACTGTTCATGTTTTCTATGGCGGGCATCATTTTGGGTAATCCTACGATCAGCAAAGGGTTTTGTCTGGTTAAAGATCAAAATGCTAAAAATTGAAGACGATTAATTTCTCAACTTAATAAAAATATAACATCCATAATCGTGAAAATCAAACCTTTTATCCATGTTTCCAATAGCACATAGGTAATGACTATATCCCAACATCCATGACAAATGTACATCATCGACACATCTATGAGAATCAAGAATGACTTTTGCTTGCGAAAACGCCAATCCAGCTTTACCCGTATATCCAAGATTAAGGTAAATTTTACCAATCTGGATGTATAAGGCTACTGAATCTATTTAAAATAAATAAACAAATAAATAAATAATACAATTAAATGCTAGACGAAGTCATGTAAAATATACCCGAATAAGAATCTTTTACATCATCTTTGATGCCATTATTTAGTCCTAACATCAGCTTTAATGTCAAAATATGATTGATCGGCTGATTTGACATTCCAAAAAAATCAGACAGCATTTCTTAAAATATTTAGTATAAAGTCAAGGATAAAAATTAATTTGAATTATCAGAACAAACAAATTAGCAAACTAATTTAAAATTAAAGGATACGAAGATGTCCGTAGAATCTTTCCACATCATCAATGTTTTTTTTAGTTCTTTCAATATCGTGTTGCGAAGCAGTATTCCCATCAAAACATAGAGGAATGTTTGCTAAAATACTTCTCCAAATTATCAAGGCACGCTTAAATGCGCCAATAGCTTGTTTTCTAGATTCCAGTGTCAAGACGCCAATCCAAGAATAAGCAATGGCTAAATAATGTGGACGAAGGTGCGAAAGTAATGCATCTTGTCCTGTATTCTACAATGACAACAAGTGTCATAAATCAAAAAAAAAAAAAAAAAAAAAAAAAAAAAAAAAAAACAGAAATTTAGAAAAAAAAAATACTTTTTTTTTTAAAATTTTTATTTAATTTTCCTTTAATTGCATAACTTTCCTTTCCATATTTATTTCTTTATACCTCATGATTTTGGATTTTTCGATTAATACCCTATTTTTTAATTCATGTTAAGAAAATCAATAACATGTTTAATTTGACAAGTAAATGACTATAATAACTTCAACAAACCTAGCCCTGCGGATTGGAAATTCCTCTCGACAATATAATGTGTCGATGAT